AAAGAGCTATAAAGAGATATAAATCTATATCGTTTGACCACTAGAAAATATCATAACGCGTAATTATGTTTACATGAACAAGCCTGAGAGTCAAAAAATTCTAAATTGCTGATGAAATCCATTCAAACTCAAAAATGCCAGCTGCAGTCTTACCCTCCTTGGAGATCGTCTCAACGATTGCCTGTTGTACATTCACAGTCTCTGGTTTATTTTCATCTTTAGGGACTTCAGAAACACTGGGGTGTATATCAGAGCCCTCTTTCTCACCAGCCATCTGCCCTTGGTCAGAAAACTCATCATTCCCAGCCTCTGCAACACCTGTCACAGGCAAACATGCAATGAGACCACAAACGTTTCAGCCGAATGCGTTTTTTATCATCATTAGTCAAAACATGCATCAAATGATCTTTGGGCATGCAAACTTGAGAACCTGCTTCTGTCTCATCATTGCAGGTGGGTTCCTTTTCAGCCTCCAGAGCCGCCTGCAGCCGCTCAATCAGATCCACTTTGAGGCCTTGGGTGTCCAGTCCACGCTTCTGCAACTCCTCTTTCAGCTCATTCACTTTTAGTTTCTTCACATCCACACTCATCATGCATGACATAAGAGGAGATCTCCCTCCCAAACCTGCCAAAATGGATGTGAACCATGACGGTTTCCAAAACATCAATAAATGCTGATGCATACATATCCAAAGCTGTGCTTTAGAACGTTAGCTAATTTTTAGCATCCGTCTAAACTGGTCACTAGCTGACTGATTCAAAAACCAGCTTAACAACCTTGTTGCTGATCCAACATGGTCTTCCAGCTTGCACCACCTGATGACCAGCTCAAACGTGTTAGAAACCAGTTATCATGTTTCAGAAACCAGCTAGACCACTTTAGGATCATGTGATAGCTGGTTTGTTGCTGGTCCAAGATGGTCTATCAGCTTTATTCAGTTAATAACAAACTTGGATCCGCTAATGACCAGGTTAAGACCAGATAGAAACCAGCTATTATTTCCCAAAACACAGCTACTGGTTTAAACTGACAGGGTGGGTCATTTACATAGCTAACTGGCTAAATCACGTGCACACATAAATTGTGCAGTAAATGCATTGGCAAACAAGCACATCTACTATAATTCAGTAAATGCATTCTCATTATGATATGATATATTGAGAAATTACACATGCACATGCCTGATTTGTCAAGCTACAAAAAAACATACTGTGCCAGCTAACTCGGCTCATGTAATTTGGCGTGCATTTCTCTAATGAAAATATTAAAATGTCAGTTAAAAAGGTGTCATGTGGCTTACCACAGCAAAAGCTCTTGTTTAGCTGAAGAAGTGTGTTTGAGTGGTGTAAACACAGGACTACAACACCGCGGGGGCTTCAGTACAGAGCAGCAGAAGACATACTGAATGTTGTTCATGGTGTTTGAGTGCTGTCACCTACTGGACACATCTAGAATATACCGACGGTTTACAAGCAGATTTAATTTCTTCTTCATGTACCATGCCTTTATTCAGTTCATCATCCATCCCTGTCAATGTGTACTAATGTTACTCTTTTGTTCAGCTAATACCCACTAAAATATATAACAAATAATATAATAAATAATACCTTTGTATAAAATATAAATATTTAATATTTAAGGATAAAATCATTTTTGTAGAAAAACTGAAGCGTCTTTACTAAACTAACTTAATATACCACATTAGTGATTAATCATGAAGTGCGTGAAAACTTACATTGTCAGGGTTTCCCAAACAGGGGGTGATGAAGGAACTTCAGGGGGGTCGTGAAAAGCTAATAATTAGCCTAATTAAATCTTTAAAATGTTAAATTACACTAGTTTATGCTGTGTGGCCTCTCAATGTTCACTGTGGCTGGTCTGAGTGTGCAACAAAACTTCTACAAGACTTTCTGAAAAAGTAATAGGCTTTTTTTTATTTTTTAAAGGAAAATTCAGAATCACTAAGAATTCATGTTATGAATAATTGACTACCATTTTGCTAATATTATGTAATCATTAAAAAAGTAACTGTAGTCTGATTATGAGTAAAACAAAATAATGCATTCATTTCATGTTTGGAATCTGATTATGTAATGCAGATCACACATCAGTTACTGACAAGCAATATATATATTTATTTACACCTGTCAAAAGGTTGGAAACATGATTTTTTAAAATATTTGAATGATGTCTCCTATGCTCACAAAGGCTGCATTTACAAGGGGTATAGAGGGGCATATTTCCTGTGATGCAAAGCTGAATTTTCAGCAGCCATTACTCCAGTCTTCAGTGTCACAAGCCTTGAATAAAGTGAAAAATGAAGTGCTAAAACTTTTGTATGTGATTCCTTACGAAAGGCATTTCACAACTACAACAATAAAAGATACAAAAAAAAAAACAACCATCAGAATATATCACTTTATTTTACAATCACAAATATGCACCCATATACACATGCCATATTGAACACAGCAGTCATTTATTGTAATGGGAATTTTCTTGCAGGACACACAGAGACGGCTCTGTTTCCTATATCGAGGGACACATCCATATGTACTATATGGAATTTGTCATTCAAGTATCAAAAATTCAAGTGCATTTTCAAATCATTAATAAATGATGAATGCCCAACTCCATCAGCATCTTATATGAAGAAAATATTATGAAATAACGTCCAAACTGATGAGCAGAATAATAAGTTGTCAAATGTTGGCAATGGTTTAACAGTGTCATCAAAAAACTAGAACTTTCGATTGAAAACAGCATCATCCAACCAAACAAATAACGAATAGGAAGCTTTAACTGTGTTATACTGGTGGCCAGTCACTTAATCACACACAAACTCTGTTCCTTCCTCGTTTATATAGCCTGGGGTTTCCTTGTGTGTGTGTGTGTGGGACGGCTTAACCAAGACTTTGTGTGTGTATATATATGGCAGTGCTGCACCCCTACTGATATGCTCTCATAAATCAGTCTCTTTGCCCTTCTAAGAAAGGGCGTATTTTAGTGATGCACATTGTTACTTGGTACTTGGAGCCACTGGGAGGGACAACAGAAGTCTATTAACCTCTCTAATCTGGGCATCCAGTGTCTCTGTGGCTAGTGCAAGCTCTCCTAGTTGTGTCTGAAGATTGTTAATGTTTTGTGCAAGCTCCTCTTCTTTGCGTCTGGAGTTGGTGGCCTGGCGGCTGTACTCAAGCACCATGCAACCTCCGCCGATGATGAAAATGATAGCCTCACCGAGCAACTCTGCTCCAAGCTCTGCAGCTGCCTCTTCATTCAGAGGTTTGATGACGGAGCCACGGAAACCCATAATTCTCATCTTTGTTCTCATCTCGATCCAGTGATATGCTATGGAGAAAACATGAGGCACCACATGGAATTACATGACACTTATTTCAACAATTTACTGTAAAAGTTAAGATACACTTCGGTTTTGCCTTCATGCTCAAGATATCCAACATAACAGAGACAACTGTATAAAAAATATAATATTAAAAAAGAGACTAATTTATGAAAACTATAATATTAAAAAAAGAGACTAATTTATGAAAACTATAATATTAAAAAAGAGACTAATTTATGAAAACTATAATATTAAAAAAAGAGACTAATTTATGAAAACTATAATATTAAAAAAGAGACTAGCATGTAAAAACCACATTAAAAAAAAATATTAAAATACACTAGTATTTATTTTACTATATGACAAGAATAAATCATAAAAATCTTTTAGAAAGGCACAATCATTGATTTAATTATCATTACATTAACTACTTCTGCCTGAAAAATTATAGACTGTACAAACAAGACTACATAATATAACCAAAGAAAAAGCTCGTATTAGACATAGTTCGTATTGCTTTCATATTATATATACATTTAATAATACTTAAATTATCATTTTATATACATTTTTATAAAAATATAACTATATATTACTTTGTAATATTAAATTATCAAATAATTTCAACAAGCAGCAACAGGTACTTTCAGTTACTACCCTCAATGACACTTGAGTCCCGCCCTCTTTAAGCAAACTCGAACCTCATTTGTCTAAAGGGAACCTTCTTTCTAGTATCTCATTGGTCTCTGGATAAACCTGTTGTTGAAAACATCCAATGACAACATCGCAGCAGTCGTGATTGGCTAAATAGCAAATACAAGCAAACGGCTATTGGCTGTGTGTTCCTTCGTTCCTTTACGGCCACAGACACCCTTATCATACGGACTGACATCAACATATCGTTAAACACGAACAACCAAATGCCAGCTTACCTTGGGCCGGAGGAAGGCAAATATAATTCTTAAAGAATTCACTTCTCCGCGCGCCTGCTTTTATTCTATTAGCCACTGGTTTGCTCAATTGTCGTACGCCCAGATAGAGCATCTTTGCAATTGGAAAGGCACCGACAACCATCTTGGCGGAAAATGCGTCATCTGAGGAGGCGGGATGATAAGGACGTCATGCGGACGATGCTCATGTGTAATATTAATGACGTAATATTAATATTCATGAGATATAGAATGTGCGTTTCGCACAATACTAAAAATAATTATTTCTTTTATTTTAAGGGAAAAATATATCCCCGATCGTCCTTTGTTTTTTGTTTTTTTTTAAAGGTTATTCCCCCAGTTGTTAAGTAGCTTATATGTATAGTACATGGACATTTTTACAAAACAAAGTATTCTAAATAGCTCTAAAATAAATACATAAAAACAATCACGGCACAAATAAGAAACAAATAAATCTCTCAGCGCCCATTGCAGCGCATTGTTTACCTGCGCCAGCTGTACGTCTGAAACACCTGGGTCGGGTTTCAGAAGCAGTGGGCTGGACTGAATATCTCAGAACTTCACAGGCAAGAGTTAAACACCGTTGAAATGTTTTCCAGCTAGTCATGCAACACATCCACGCTCAGCTGGACTAAGTTCTAGGACTTTACGGCACGACAACCTCACAACTATTACAGCTATTCAAGGTACAGGAAACGATTTGTGTTATAGTGCTTTTGACTGAGGCGGCCTTGAGAAGGCGATTTGGATTGTACAGCGGACTCGGTCGTATCCGCTATGCCAGGCCTTTTTAGGACCGTTTTTAAGTATTATTTTAAAAAACGTGTACTATGTCGAACGTTTTTTTTAAAGGCGCCTTTGTGTAAGGAGGTGTACGAGGAGGAGTCAGAGGCGCTTTAATGGAAATCAGATGTCTTAAAAACCGCACGAAGGAGCTTTTGAAGTCGGTGCTCATTGAACTGTCCACTGAACAATGTATTATTCATTATTCAACCTGAATGTTGTCTTTGAATCACACAAAAGCTTATTCAACCTTTTATTTATTTAGTAATACTGTAGTTTGTAGTATGTTATGTAGGGATTATGACATTTGGCTGACGATTAATTTTCTAAAAATAGTCACGGTTATTGCGATTAATTGTCTGTTTTAGGGCTTTGGCGATTATCACGATTAATTGTCTGTTTTTTATGGCTTTCATTATATAATTGTGATTAATTTAAGGGTTCAGTAAATAATTATGATGTTATCTTTTAATCTTTTTTGAGTTATTATTTTGCAGTGTAAGATTACATAGAGTATTCTAAATTCTAAGAATCGGCCAATCCAACACCAGTGCAATTTTTTTTCTACACCACTACAGAATATCAATACTGTGTTTGTGGAACTAATGGTCACTCTTTTAAACCCTTTGTTAAACATAATCCATTAAATACTCACTTCCTCATTACAGAGGAAAAACTACATTTGAATAAATATATTACAAAATACATTCATAAAAATAAGATAGAAATCATGAGAAAAAGAAAGGCTTCTAATAATCTTTCTGTGTGCAAAACCATTGATAATGTGAAATGCTTCAAACAGTGCGGCACAAAGCTCTTATGCACATCTAGGGTGCAGGATGATGTGCTTGAAGTATCAAAAGTCACGGCGCGCTACACTCCACACGGTACAAACAAAAAGAAGAGAAATGAGAGCGCAATGAACTCCAGCAAGATGTCATTTTATGCGAATCCCCAGACCTTTATCTACACATCGAGTATTATAATGGGGAATATATCATATTGGAGAGAGAGTTTTACCGTGCTGTCATAACTGAACATGTTTGAATGCTGAGCGGAGAATGACTGACAGCTGCAGCAGAAGGAAGATGAGTTTCTATAAACTTAAAGGGTTAGTTCACCCAAAAATAAAAATGTGCCTGTGTTTAACTCACCCTCGAAGTAGAGACCTGCACTCCCGCGGGAGGACCGCGGGACCCGCGGGACCCAACGTAACAGGGTGCGGCGCGGGACAACTCTTGATGGGCGGGTGCGGGCGGGAAGAGACTTGTGTGTGCGGGATGCGGAAGAATAAAATGATTCGCGGGACTCCCACAAAATAGAAATTATCTAACGTATTGCAGTTGAACAGTCCACAAGTCGTCAAATAAAGCTCGCGCATTCATAATAAAACGTGCCGCACACGGCTCCAGGGGGTGAATCAAGGCCTCCTGTAGCGAATCCATGTGTTTTTGTAAGAAAAATATCCATATTTCAAACGTAATAAACACTTTTCTCTCACTTCCGGTTTTTGTCATATATCTGCAAGCAGTTCTGGCGGAAGACATTGACATTGCGTGATTAGTGACGAGCGCGGAGAGAGAACAAAACAAAACGCCGGTCACGAATTAGAAGTACAAACCGAGGATTTGTAAAGAAAAATGTCGGAGGATTTCGATATAAATCAAGAGGAGACTGGTTTTCCTTTGCTAAAGTAAGGAAACTTTGCTTCCTTTGCTCCTTAAACATACATGCTGCGTCATCCGCCGGAACTGCTTCCGCGTATGACAGAAGCCGGAAGTGAGAGAAAAGTGTTTATTAAGTTTGAAATATGGATATTTTTCTTACAAAAACACATGGATTCGCTACAGGAGGCATTGATTCACCCCCCGGAGCTGTGTGAGGCATGCTTTATTATGGATGCGTGTGCTTTATTTGACGACTTGTGGACTGTTCAACTGCAACACCCGCTGACTGCAATGATAGAGCTTGGAATAGCCAGGACAATTTTTAATATAACTCCGACTGGATTCGTCTGAAAGAAGAAAGTCATATACACCTAAGATGCCTCTGGGGTGAGTAAAATGGCTTCAGATGATATAGGCTATACAGTGCATGAAAAGCAAACTGGTGCTCTTCTGTTTCTTTTGGTGTATGACTGCGCCTTGTGCCGTAAAAAGCACAATAATCGCAGTTGTCTGAAACAACCGAGGTTGGATCAAATAATCGCGATTAGACGGTTATTTAATTATCGCGACAGGCCTAATGTTATGTTGTTATGTTGTAGTTTGTTATATTATGCTGTTCAGAATATTAATACATAAAGCGTCCTGAATAAGGCCTGTCAAGATTAAACACGTTTTTAGCAGTGTTACTTCATTATTATTTATGATACTTATATTTTTTTTAATATATATTTTCCTTTTATATTTTGTATAAAGGTTCAATAAACTGTTATATTTTTCTGACTTAGGCTATATTTCACAGGATTAAACATGTTAACTGATTGTAATATGATACATTGTTCTGAAGTAGGTCAGTAATAAGCACCTTCATGTCATTTTTGAGCAGGGTTGGGAATGGGTCCAGCATACAGACCTGATTTACCATTTGACTAAATGCTGTCAGACACGGAACCAGCTGAACTGCATATCTTGTCTTATCCTGTCCTGCTACAACTTGTTCTGAGTTTTCTGGCTCCCAGCTTTTCTGGGACTTTGTAAACACTGACAGTTTGCATGTTGGTTCAGATGCATGCCAGCCAGTCATTGTGTGCACTGCGGTTTAGGTTTTAAAGGTTGGATGCAGTCAGGGTGGATTTCTTGTGTCTTGGATGTCTTGTGTGATTCACAAGGAATGTAAAGCTTGTAATTTCGAAGACTTGAGAGATTCCAGAGGCAAATGTTACTTGAGACAAATTAGAGTGCCACAGGGCTGCACAAAAACAAACATCCCTTAAACAGAAGTTACTAACTAGTATCATAGGTCAAAGACTGTTATATACATTTATATATATGTGTGTGTGTGTGTGTGTGTGTAAACCCACCTATGGTATCAGGATGACTAACAGGGTTTTGTCAGAATGTTCTGTAACGGCCATCATTGTCTGAAATTTAACCTGACACCCAGTCACTCCCCAGTCTTGTCAAACCAAACTGTTACACCAAATCTGATAAAATGTCTTGATTTCTGATTCTGAGTTGATAATTCGACATTTCAACAGTGTCAGGAGATGCAATAGGCTTGGCAGTTGCTGATCTGTGTGATTTTTCATATGATTTTGTGTAGATTTTTTCAGTATTGGGAGTTGTATTTCGCATCACTAATTTGATCATTTACTCACACTCATTTTATTCCAAACCTGACTGATTTTCTTCTGTGGAATGTTTTGAAGAACATTCAGTGACTATCAATGATTGTTAAAACACTGAGATATTTTTCAAAATATCTTCTTTAGTGTTCCACAGAATGATGACAGAATTGTCATTTTGGGGTAAACTATCCCTTTAAGTTTTGTCACAGGAACATTCTGCCCACAGTTTTAGGAGTGCATCAGTGTGACAGTGGGGTGAGGCTCGTAAGATCCAAGTGTTTTGTATCCACTCAGTGGTCCATGTCATGATAAAGGTTGTTGAGCACAGAATGAATTGCTCTTGAGTGTCCGCTCCCCCTCAGAAGCAGCCTTCTCAAGGTTTTGAAATAAAACCGAAATCCTGTTAGTTCCGTACTTATTGTCATCTAAAAAGACTCTTGTAATCAATGCTGATCCTTTAATTGTGAGCGCAATGTTCTGAGCTTTTGTGCTGGCCAGTGTTCAATATTTGCATATTTGTTTAATAGATTTTTGTTCTTCATCTGATGAAACTCCTGCTCTGTCTTAGCTGGTTATAAATCATTACACCTTTTTAGCAAGGCCCTATAAATTCCAAACCTGTTACATGCTGTTTGAATTCATGCTCTAATTCATTCTTATCAGCTAGACTATGAAACACGTCTCCACAATGAAGGTTTTGGTTGGTTTCAATGTCATGAGGTATGTAATGTCTGATATGTGTCATGAATGTTCACTTATTATGACTTAAAGGAATAGTTCACTCAACTTTTATGTATGGACAAATAAAAACGATCTGATCTTTCAAAATGTATTTTGTTTTTCACAGAAGAAATTAAGTCAGAATGACTTCAGTGTGAGTAAATGATGACTGAATTTTCATTGTTGGGTGAACTGACTCTTTAATGGAGCATCTGGGGAACTGTGGTGATCTAAATGCAGCTTGGGTTGGGCAGTATTTATATCACATGATGATTTCATTATGACATACTGATGAATGAAATTCTCATGAAAATGTAACACTTGTTGAAGATAGTGATTGGTCTGTATTTATTAGTTATTTTGTAATGATTCCCCTATAGTAGCCTGTCTACAGACTAATGATTATTTTGATCATTTAATTAATCTGTTGTTTATTTAGTTAATTGGATGACAAAATGATTTAAAAATGCATGAAATAAAAATAAATTATTATAATTAAGTAAAGTTATAACAAAATGTTACTCCATATCCTGCCCAGTGTCCTCCAAACAATGTGCAATTTGACGGTTATGAAAACAAATATAGTAAATGTATTGATGTAGGCTGTGATAAACATTATGTGTGCAAAAAGTTTTCAAATATAAATATTACATAAAAAAAAAAAAAACTGATTGCTTAAAGCAGAAGTTAAAATCACTAAATTAAAAATGATAATAAACAAAAGCACAAACTAAATGTTAACTGGTACAAGGAGCATGAATTCTTTGCAGCACACAAATGCAATTGATCATTAAAATTGTAGATTTTTTTTCATTATCAATTATTATTGATTCGTTTTTTGCTGCCCTATATAAATCATAAATAATAAATCAAAGCCTATATTTGTGTTTATAGGACAGAAACTGAGATTAATCAATGGTGTAAATAAGATGCAAATACATGATTACTTAAAAATGCATATAATGCAGATCAGGGCAGAGGACAAGCTTAACAACTGATTGAGAAATTGGGTTGAGAAAAAGAGAACATGAGCAAATGGTTTCTATCACACCTTAATCCATCAGTAGAAAGCACTGCTGACTTAATCTTTTAGTCTTCATGGTTTCCGCCCCAGGCTCAGAATGGACTAGGTCTTCTTATCAGTGCAGGACGAGAGTTATTATTATTAACCTGTGTCACTCTCAACTCCACATTCCAGCCTCACTGTATCAGGCACTGCAACAAAAGTGCTAAATTAACACTTAAGAGTCACGCAAAGCCTTAACCTCTCAATCGGCAAATGACTGCGGAGCAGTGAATGAGAGGTGGAGATCAGGGATTAAGATCGGATAGGGAATGAAAAGAGAGTATGTGAGAGGACAGATAGAACAAATATCAAGATACCCCAGGGTGAAGACTATTGTGCTTTTAGGAAAACTAAGGCGACTAGATGTCTGCCGCTGACTGGTGCTGTCTTTGGAAATGTCCCAGATATTTTACTGCGTGTTCAAAGTCAGAACAACACGTGAAGTGAAACAACGCCTAATGTACTAGATGTCACATACTACATGCTTTTTAAAAAGAAGCATTATAGGCATATCATTCACCACATCTGTAGTGTGGAAATCAGTTTTTGTTTTTGTTTTTTTAAAAGGGACTCAATGAACAGAAGGTAACTGCATACTAGCATATATACAGTAGTGTTCAAAAGTTGTTTTTATTTTTTATTTAATACTTTTTTTAAACATTAAATTAATTTTAGTAATACAAGGGTGTATTAAATTGATCAAAAGTGACAGTAAATACTTTTACATAGTTACAAATTAATACTGTCAAAAAATACTGTTCTTTTTAACTTTCTATTCATGAACGAATCCTTTGACAAATAGAAAAATTAGGCAGAGCAGCTGTTTTCACATTGATAAAAATAGGAAATGTTTGAATGATTTAAGCTTTGTCATCACAGGAATAAATCACAATGCACAATAAAATGTATTAAAATGGTCTCATTTTAAATTGTAATAATATTTCACTATTTTACTCTGCTTTTGAAAAATCTTGCTGACCCCAAACTTTTGAATGCTAGTGAATGTAAAAAAGTTATTGTAGTTATTAACTAATTTCTGTGTCTTTCGTTTATTGCATTAGTTACATCATCGAAATAGCAGCCCTGCAGAGTTTTGCTTCAACCCTAATCAGACACACCTGGACAAGCTAATCAAGGTCTGAAGGGTTACTAAGCTACAGGCAGGTGAGTTTTAATTGGGGTTGGAGCTGAACTCTGCAGGGCTGCGGCTCTCCAGGACCGGAGTTTGCCACCCCTGATCTAGGGCATAAATTCAGACAGCATGTTTGGAATTCATGAAAATGAATTTAAAAACATGCTCATCATATAAGAGGTGTAATCAAGCCATTGTATATGTGAACTGCATTTTCAATGTTTTAAATCTATAGAGACAAACAATACAATAAAGAGTTTGTCATTCACCCTAGTACATTTATGGTCAAAATAAAACTTCGTTTTTTTTTAAAGATATACTGTACAGTGTGAACTCGGCATAATGTGAATCACTGAGCCAGTGAGAGTTATGCCGAGTTCACACTGCACGATTTTAGCCCAATTTTTCACTCGCCAACAGGTTTTGCGAAATCGCCGACAAATGCCCGACATCGGAGGCAAATCGGTGCTCGTTCACGTGAGTGACAATCACGCAGTGTGAATTATCAAAGACGCGATCTGAGGGAATCGTCAGGGGACAAGCTAAATATCTGGAGCTGTCGCCGATTCACAATCACACTGTGTGCAATGATTTCTGACTGAAAACTACATCGGCGACGACCTGCAGCCAATGAGAGACCAAGATACAGGGCAGAAGGAAGTTCGGGGAGGAGTTATAGACCAGAATATCAGTATTTTAAAGGGGTCATATGATGCGATTTCAATTTTTCCTTTCTCTTTCCTATTGTGAAGTCATGCAGTGTGAAACCCCCTGTCGCCGATCCATCGTGCAATGTGAACACAGCAGCAACTGAATGCTACCCCAGATAGTCATGCAGTGTGAAAACAACGGCGATCAGTGCCCTTCTGTGCTTGAGTGCATTACTGTTTGAAAAGAAATCACAAAAAGCGCATGTACACAGTTTACTATGCTGTGAAATGTCAAATTAAAGAAAGAATCTTCTGGAAATAAATAACTGCCAGGGAATAAATTTTCCATAGTAACTAATATAACCCCACTCAGCATTTGCCAAATATAAGCTTAATGTTTCTGATAAATCATTATTATTACAAAGGGTAACAGTGGCATGTTGTAGCATGATTTAACTTAAGATGAGTGATGTTTGCACACCTAAATTCTCTATTACCTGCAGCAGCTTTTGACCTTGTGTGTGGGACAAGTTCTTCAGCTGGATGACTCAGTAAGACAAAGAACTGACTGGCCCATCGAAAACTGCACAAAGAACGGATGCATTACTAAAAAACATCTGTTGTTATTCAGAGGGTGAAAGTTTAACAAAACATGTCTTATGTGATTCAAATATAAGCATGACTATGTGTCTCTGTGTCTAAATGCTTAGCCCACATGTCTATATTTCCCACTTGTTAGGTGAGCATATAGACACATGGGCTTAATCAGCATGTGAAAGTTATAAGTCATGTTTCTAGTGCTTTTTGCCTGAGGGTCGTAGCTCATCATTCAACGGCCTTCAGCACGCCGTTAATTATACGAGCATAAAGAAGGGGTTGCTGCAACAGATGTCAAACATGGACAGCAGACTTCTTTATAAATTACAAAGGGCGTTTCTCTGTGTTAAATGGAATGTAGGCAGATTTTGATCTGGAGGTGTTGGAATGCTTAAAAAAATGCTCACCAATCTACATTTATTTGATTAAAAATACAGTTAAACTGTCTTTTTCCAGTTTTCAGCTCCTTGATATTTATATAATACAGATTTTATTTAATATTTCCGTTTTGAGTCAGAAACCACATGCACTTCCAAACAAAGATACGATTGAATCAGAGATGCTGATTGAATCTGATTTCCCCTTTTCGTTCAGGCTGTGTGTTGAATGAATTGGAGGTCACACAAACAGAAACGCAAACGCCATGAATTCCCAGGGCAGCTTTGGCAGCAGCTTCATGTGTGAGTATTTCAGTACACCAGCAATGTTTCATTCCTATGAACATAGGCAATGTAGGGTAGGACAAGATGCAGCAGTTACAACATGTCCAAGCATGCTAATATTTTTCGTGAGTGTCTTCAAAAGGGCATATAATGTGCTACATAGATCTGGACTGGAGTGGCTTGTTAAATACTGTTGGGTGTTTACTCGGTGTTTGTGTATGTTGTAGTTCAGTCCATCAATGACGAACTGAATGCGTCTTTGGCCACAGCAGATGAGCTGTCACGCGAATTCAGCTCTCTCCTGTCGGAAGCCACTCCTGCCGTACAAACTACTACTTCAGAGGTACAGAACACAACACTGAGCCATATTAGTATTGACAGTTATGAGATCCATAAAAGCCTAGAACCACAGGCTGAATCTAGTCTCAGCACTGTATTTTTGGTAGTTGATATTTCAAGCAGCAATAATAATAGCATCTCAAAGCGCTGTACACAGAATAAAAAATTAACTGACAACAATGGCCTGCTATGCAACATGAACACTTCTTTTAATCATTATTCATGCAATTTTATGACTTCATGTTAATTAGGAGACTATTTTACTTGTAAAAATATATATTTTTTATTTCACACAACAGAACTATTTAAATGAACTGCAAAAAACTACAACGCAAAATACAAAAATGTACAGGGTTGTAAAATATATGTGTATTTTAAATATGTTTTCTTTAAATACTGCAATCAAATCATAATTTGTCATTAATTATTGTCTTTAAATAATATAATTATATTGTTTTAGTGTATTTTGTTTTCCTTGGTCTTTTTATTGTAGAGTTTTGGTCCCAAACCCCAGAGCAGCAGCAATGGCAATGGCAGTTTGTACAGCGCAAACAAGAATGGAAAGGAGAGTACAAGCTTCTCCTTTTCCCAGAGCTCCACAAGCAGCCTAAGCTCAGAGCCCGCCATCAGCAGGAAAGAATCCAACCTGGACCTTCCTTCTGCTGTCACTATTCGATCCTCATCTCCTTCATCTCAACTAGACAGTATGAAATTTCTGCCTTCATCTCCTAGTCCTTTAACCCAGCAGCATTCCCCTTTTACAAACCGTAAAGACAGCTCGGATTCACGATATTCCTTCGACCAAAAGACTCCCCCTAACATGTCTCCGAATACAATGAGACGAATGGCGCAGATGCCGCTGAGGCCTCAAGATCGAAGCACGAGAGGATCGTTGAGCTATGGGGAGCTCTCCAGCCCTACCTTTGACAACAAAACATCTCGCAGCTTGCTGCAGCCCTCAGCTAGTCCCTTGTCATCGATTCCCAGGTCTCCAAGGTTGGATCGAGCACCTTCTCCTCAGCCTTTAAGTCAACCAGCAGCCAGTACACTACCACGCAACTTCCAGCCATTCAGACTCTTGGGTAATTGGGAACCTTTCCATTGCACAAAACATTCTTTAAAGTGGAAAAAGGTTATTAAAATGTTATTCACATTAAGAAAAAAAAAAGATTTTTTACGAACTGTTTAATGAAAAGTTATTTTGGGAACCTAAAATGGTTCTTCTATGGCATTTGCTGCAAAAAAAATTAAAATAAAAAATCTCTTGGAAGCTTTATTTTTAAGAGTGTACAGTTGGAGCCAAAGGTCTTTGGTTGGTAGTAAAGTTGTCTGTTTGCTTTATTTTTTGTCAGTTTCTTTATTAAAACAATCAAGAGCCTCCCAGTTCTTTTTGTTGATCATTTGTTTCCTCATCGCATCTTCCATCTTCTTTCAGATGAAAGAATGCAGATGCAGAAGAACCCCTCCAAGTGGAACGAGACCGACCTGGATGCATACGAAAGAAAGCCTCACCACACCTATGATAGTAAATTGCACAATTCTCATGCTTTTTTGAAAGCAACATTAAAAAAAAATGTTTTAAACTCACTTTTGATTGCATAACATTGCATTACTCATTACTAAACCTGGAGGCAAGATTGTGCAACAATTAAAATAAATTATTAAAAGGGCCGTTTCTGTTCATTCAAGTATTTTCATTCAAATTGAGTGCCTGTTTTCTATTGATATCAGAATAATGAAAATGATAAAACAAACAATGTTATTAAACTAAACTTTAGTGTATCAGACTTCCCTTTGACTGCTATATGACAGAATTGACAGAATTCTTAAAGGGATAGTTCACCCAAAAATGAGGTGTATATGACTTTCTTCTTTCAGACGAATACAATCGGAGTTACATTGAAAAATGTCCTGGCTCTTCCAAGCTTTCAATGGCAGTGGGTAGTGGTCCAGATTTTGAAGCAAAATAAAGTGCGTCCATCCATGATAAAAAGTGCTCCCCTCAGTTCCAGGGGGTGAATAAACGCGAAGCGATGCATTTGTATAAGAAAAATATCCATATTTACAACTTTATAAACCATAATCTCCAGCTTTGGCTAACTGTTGTATGCGTGTTCACGAGAAAGTGGCGTCCAGCGGATAACATAACATACATAAATGCTACATACTTACATAAATGGTAAGTAAATATTGAAAAAGTAAAAGGTAAAAAAAAAATACAGAGAATTTTTGAAATGGTGCAAAGAAAATCTAAATAAAGATAAAACATGATAAATTCTCTAAAATCTATTTCACAGTCACTTAGTATTGCTCCTTTGTAACAAACTAATTTAAGCATTCATAATATACAAATAATTTATACGACTTCAGTGCTCTAAAAATTTACAGTATTAATATTAATAATTATATATAACAAAAGTTAACCAACGTGAATTCTTTTTCTCCAGAGTGCTCTACACAATCTTTAAAAAAATTTAAAATCCAAGATATGACTTTTTTTTGGCTTATTCATACCTCCATTATTAACCATTTTAACAATAAGTCATGTCATGTGGTTTCAATGTGAAGACAATGGGTTTGGTACTAAGATGTAACATCATGCAATAGTAGTGTAGTCACTCTCTCAATGTTAATTCTTTCTTAATTATATGATTTCCTCTTTTTGTTGTAGAGAATGAATGGATCAGACCGTCTGTACCCAACAGCAACTGGAAAGAATCGAACCTGGACGCACATCCTTCCGCTAAGAAGGTATGCAGACTTTGTGTTGTGCATAAACGTGCTTGTAAGTGCTTGTGCCTTAAAGGGATAGTTCACCCAGAAATGAAAATGTCTTTGGTTGGTAGTAAAGTTGTCTGTTTGCTTTATTTTTTGTCAGTTTCTTTATTAAAACAATCAAGAGCCAAACAGTTCATTTTGTTGATCATTTGTTTCCTCATCGCATCTTCCATCTTCTTTCAGATGAAAGAATGCAGATGCAGAAGAACCCCTCCAAGTGGAACGAGACCGACCTGGATGCATACGAAAGAAAGCCTCACCACACCTATGATAGTAAATTGCACAATTCTCATGCTTTTTTGAAAGCAACATTAAAAAAAAATGTTTTAAACTCACTTTTGATTGCATAACATTGCATTACTCATTACTAAACCTGGAGGCAAGATTGTGCAACAATTAAAATAAATTATTAAAAGGGCCGTTTCTGTTCATTCAAGTATTTTCATTCAAATTGAGTGCCTGTTTTCTATTGATATCAGAATAATGAAAATGATAAAACAAACAATGTTATTAAACTAAACTTTAGTGTATCAGACTTCCCTTTGACTGCTATATGACAGAATTGACAGAATTCTTAAAGGGATAGTTCACCCAAAAATGAGGTGTATATGACTTTCTTCTTTCAGACGAATACAATCGGAGTTACATTGAAAAATGTCCTGGCTCTTCCAAGCTTTCAATGGCAGTGGGTAGTGGTCCAGATTTTGAAGCAAAATAAAGTGCGTCCATCCATGATAAAAAGTGCTCCCCTCAGTTCCAGGGGGTGAATAAACGCGAAGCGATGCATTTGTATAAGAAAAATATCCATATTTACAACTTTATAAACCATAATCTCCAGCTTTGGCTAACTGTTGTATGCGTGTTCACGAGAAAGTGGCGTCCAGCGGATAACATAACATACATAAATGCTACATACTTACATAAATGGTAAGTAAATATTGAAAAAGTAAAAGGTAAAAAAAAAATACAGAGAATTTTTGAAATGGTGCAAAGAAAATCTAAATAAAGATAAAACATGATAAATTCTCTAAAATCTATTTCACAGTCACTTAGTATTGCTCCTTTGTAACAAACTAATTTAAGCATTCATAATATACAAATAATTTATACGACTTCAGTGCTCTAAAAATTTACAGTATTAATATTAATAATTATATATAACAAAAGTTAACCAACGTGAATTCTTTTTCTCCAGAGTGCTCTACACAATCTTTAAAAAAATTTAAAATCCAAGATATGACTTTTTTTTGGCTTATTCATACCTCCATTATTAACCATTTTAACAATAAGTCATGTCATGTGGTTTCAATGTGAAGACAATGGGTTTGGTACTAAGATGTAACATCATGCAATAGTAGTGTAGTCACTCTCTCAATGTTAATTCTTTCTTAATTATATGATTTCCTCTTTTTGTTGTAGAGAATGAATGGATCAGACCGTCTGTACCCAACAGCAACTGGAAAGAATCGAACCTGGACGCACATCCTTCCGCTAAGAAGGTATGCAGACTTTGTGTTGTGCATAAACGTGCTTGTAAGTGCTTGTGCCTTAAAGGGATAGTTCACCCAGAAATGAAAATTCTGTCATTAATTACTCACCCTCATGTCGTTCCAAACCCGTAAGACATTCGTTCATCTTTGGAGCACAAATTAAGATATTTTTGATGAATTAAGATATCAGCTTTCTGACCCTGCATAGACAGTAATGGAACTACCACGTTCAAGGCCCAGAAAGGTAGTAAGGACATTGTTAAAGTAGTCCAAGTGACATCAGTGGTTCAACCGTAATGTTATGAAGCTACAAGAATACTTTTTGTGCGCAAAGAAAACAAAAATAACCACTTTATTCAACGATTTCTTCTCTTCCGGTCAGTTTCCGCCACCATTCACGAGAGTACCGCGACTCATGCGTGTGCATTCCTCTGCTTGTAAACAAGGCGCAGTGCATGCGTGTTCTACGTCAGAACGCCACTCCTGCATCAGCAGCACCACATGTTAGTTATTTATTATTTTCGTTTTCTTTGCGCACAAGTATTCTCGTAGCTTCATAACATTATGGTTGAACCACTGATGTCAAATGGACTGTTTTACCGATGTTCTCACTACCTTTCTGGGTCTGGGAACATTTCATTGCTGTCTATGGAGGGTCAGAAAGCTCTCGGATTACATCAAAAATATCTTAATTTGTGTTCCGAAGATGAACAAAGGTCTTGCGGGTTTGTAACGACATGAGGGTGAGTAATTTTTTCAGAATTTAAATTTTTTTGTAACTATCCCTTTAACGTGTCGTAATTTTGCTTAGGGCACTATTACAGTAAAATGTCATTGTTGAGTTAACTGAACAAATAAAATCAGGGATCTGAGCCAAAGACGTTCAAGGGCAAATCCGTTGACATTTTTTTTTCTTTCTCTCCCACATCTTTTCATTTGTCTTCTTCCTCTTAGTTCCTTTATAGTTGTTTGTTGCCTGCTGGTTAACCACTCTGACTTGTTGAACCAATAAAAAAAAAAAGATCACGTTTATATGTAATTATGTTTTAGGACTTTCCAGGTATTAGAAACAAGTATAGACAATTCCCATATGAAACAGTCTGTCACATTTTCTTACAAGCCCGTTTCCTACTGTCTTGCACTCTCCTATTGAAGCTTATTTCCGTCACGGAATAAAAATATAAAAAAGGTAATTGCGATCTCACAATTCTGACTTTTCTTCTCACAATTCTGAGTTTATAACTCAAAATGTTTACCTTTTTCTCACAATTTTGTGGGGGAAAAAAAGTGTGAGCTAAAAAGTTGCAATTACTTTATTTTTTAAACTGCGAGGGGCGTGGCAGGGGGGAAGAAGTCAAAAGATTTACGAGATTTATTTTTATTCTGTGGCGGAAATAAGCTTCCATATGCTCTTTTGTGCTATCATTAAAAACCCTCATTCTTCAGTTTTAATTGACAGAAATTAAGTTGCAGGTGAAGGAAAAAAGTAGGGATGCACGATATTATCAGACCGATATCGGAATCGGCCGATAATGGCTTTAAATGTACATATCGGCATCGGCCCGATATGAAAAATGATGCCGATATGTCTTGCCGGTAGGAGGAATACGTTTACTCATATGTGCTCAGGGTGTGCTAGCGATTAGATCACGTCAGCATTGTGGCTCATTCTTGAAGCAAAGTTTTGCCTGAATGATAATTAGATTCACTGTTTTGGATCGCTGAATTTAAACTGAGAAAGCACATACAGAATGATGCGTTCGGTGTATGATAGAGTAAACAGTAATAGCATGTGCAGTGGCAACAGCGGCAGCCTCCCCCGGGTTCAATTGCCGGTTTGGTACGGTGATTTAATTCCATAGGGGGCGCTTTTGGCCTACTTCTAATAAAATGAAAGTAAAATATACAAATAACATTTAGACTGTGTTTCTGATTAAATAAAGCAATAATTGATGTCATAAAATCATGAGTATGTTTTGATTTAAAGGTCAGAAGCTATAGCTTACATAAATAAAAAAATCTAAAACATGACACTTGTAAATGAAATAATTTTATATATACTGATTTATTCATTAATGTGTAATATGTTATGTTTTAACAAATTATGAGCTCTAAAAGACTTTCTGAATTTTTACATCTCTTTTGCTTTAGACATCTACAAATGTTAAATCTTAAAATTAGTGCTGTCAAAAGATTAATCGCATACAAAATAAAAGTTTTTGTTTGCATAATATATGTGAGTGTTCTGTGTATATTATGTATATATAAATACACACACATACAGTATATATTTTGAAAATATTTACATGTATTTACATGTCTATATTTATATTAATATAATTTATATTATAAATAAATATATTTAATATATAAACATAACCTATTTTTCTGAAATATATACATGCATGTGTGTGTATTTATATATACATAATAAATATA